TTTTTCAACAGTAAACACAAAGTAATTTGAAATTCCTCTGTTTGCGAGCAATTTTTTTCATGATTCCATAAACAGTTTTTTTCTTTTAAAATTAATATAACAAAAATTAATATATTTAATTTATAACAAATTTCGATTGAATTTATATCGATCTGTTGTATTACAGACCTATTTACTCTTACGATTTCGCCGTATTTTGTACGGATTTTTAGTCCAGAATACGTATCACCTTTTGCTATTATGAAAATACAGAAATAAGAAATACACTTGTTTAGAGTTGCGAAATTGGTTTTCGTTATGATCTGTCTGAGTTTCACGCTTTTTAATCGTTAAAAAGATTTCAAACAAAGTTATGTCAACTGGACTTGCGTTATGAAATGATCAGGACCATGTTATCAAACCATGTTTTAGTATTCAGAAAAGCAGTTGTTCTCCATTTATATATGTAATATTGATTGAATGAGAAATCTTACAGGCAAATGCCAAATCTCACTGAGAGACAATGATATGGGTAAACAGGTCTGTTAATTAATTGATTGATTACATTATAAATTTAAAAGGGTTTCAACTTTCCTTATTTCTCCACTGACAAATGCGCACTTGCAGCGAATAATTTCATGGGGACAGTGTAATAACTACGCTCCAACGGTATTCGAGTCTTTTTATCGGTTATGGAAAAGGGCAAGCGTGATCCAATTGCAAATGCTGTTGCATTAATATTTCTCATTGATAGTTACACATGTAAACCATCAAAAGGATGACTCTTTGCTTGACACTGGAAAGGTCTGGCTTTGTACACAACCACGTCACCCGACAGCCTGAACAACTTTGATTTTACACGCGTTATTTCAACAGTAGAGAAATTAAATTGCAATTTGTTCTTAAGATGAGTGGTTTAAAGAAATCTTATGATTTTCTTTGGATTCCATGTGCCAATTTTGTTCTTTTTATGTCTATCCTATGTTACATATGATATGTGCCATTTCCTGAATAAACAAACAAACAAAAGCTTATGGTCCCCTTTCGTAAGAGTGTCCAGTTGTTGCACTTACATAGGTGCGTTCATTTATTCTGTTTTGTGAAGCCATGACTGGTATCGACTTATGCTCCAATGAGGTGTGTAGATTTCGTTTAGGGGGATGATAACTTAGATTTCGTTTAGGGGGATGTAAGGATCCAATTCCTTTCTCAAGTAAGTATTTGAAGAATCTCCCGTGATTTGACAGATTAGTTTTATATTATGGAGTTACTGAACCTGATTATTATTGGCAGTTGTACTAGAGTTGAGATGAATTTGTATACTTGGAAGTTATTTGACATTGCAGGAATATGTATGTTTTTTTTCATTGACATATAAGTCAAAGATCAATCTTTCTTGTTTTGTATAGCAACATCATATCATTATCTGGCATTCTCTCTGCATGAAAGTATAATTTTGACTTCTCATCTTGACTCTCTGAATCCCATAGTATTTATTACTTTAGCTAGCTGATGATTTTCCTTATTTATAGCTCTTTTGAAATACCTAATAGTAAAAGTTTTTGTTGATCTTCAAAAGCACTTTGAAGCAAGAAGAACACATATTGTGGCCACCATCGATTGTAAATGAAGACTTTCCTCTTTGGCATTTAGAATCTTTTACTTGGTCTATAAACTACTCAACTCGTTTCGTCCAAAATTTTCATCTCGTACATTTCATCATTTCTGAAGTGGCATGTTCTAAACAAAAGTGATGGCATTTTTTCCCTTTTCTTCATAGACGACATGTCTTTTAATGGTTTTTTAAATGGATGGAAATATGTCTTTTATTGATTGAATTTGGCTTTCTTTTCCTTACATTTTCCAAAAATCGAATTGATAAGCTGATATCACTTATATTAAGCCTTTCCTCTGATTTACTTCTTTTTATTTCATTCCATAATAAAAACCAAGCAAAAATTACTCGATATAAATTGTAATCCACCCCTAGTAGCTTAAAGTAGCAGGATAACTATACATTAAACACAATTGGAACAAATGTATTGTATCAATTTATTAATATGGCCCACCACATGAAAGATGTTTGCAAAAGTAACTTTAGGTAGTTTTCTTCTCATATTTTTAGACGGTGGCTATTACGAGTTTTTTTTTGTAAGATACACATGATGAATAAGTGTAACTTATATAACTGTAAAAAAAAAATGTCAAACTCCCAGGGTTGAGTATCCGGGTGTGGGGGGTCGGGGTCTGTCCACCATGACATAGTACATGAGATTCATTTTAAACGCGGCATACAAAATCTTCTTCGTCCCAGTCTTTTTGAAATACCATTGAAATTACAAAGCCTCTACAATGAAGTTCCTCTTTTATTTGTTGTCTTGGGAGTCGCATTTACTTTGGCCTAGGCAAGAGACACACCTTTTTCATGAATATGGCAGTTGTCTTCTTTATATAGTATTATTTACATGTAATATTAATGATCTTTGTTTTATAAAAAATATATATAATTTGCAGTCCCTGTAAAAATAAATTTTAAAAAAGGCAGGAAAAATTGTCAACCTTTTACCAATCCAAAGAAAGATTTTAAGGGGGAGGGAGGGGGTATTCCTATTGATTTTAAGTGGTTACTCCTCTCCTAACAAATAATTATCAGCATCAATGTTATATTTAAAACGTTTTAAAAGAGACTGGTTTTACAACTATCGATTGTATAATTATTAAACTAACTGTTCCATAAAATTAAATGAACCCTATCGTCACTACACAGTAACGAGTTCTGATTCCATGGTATTCTGGAGGATAGGTTACAACTCCAAAATGTAGGTTATGTCTTTATTTTTCTGGAGTGGAATGGACTGGTAGAAACTGTTGAATCACACTTCGTTGATTCAGTTTCCAATCTTGAGGCCTAAAATTTGAAGTTATATTATGTGTAAGTCTTTCTTTACGCTTAATTCAGATGTAATTTAAAGATTTACGAACATTTATCCCATCAATCTAGGCGATCTTCTAATTGGAGAGAAATGGGCAGGCACGATGTTATTTTTCAACGGTGGGGTAAAAGGGAGTTTCCTGATTGTTAAAATCTGAAAAAGTAAACAGATTCTAATACATTCAATTCAAAATGAATTAAACATTATGATTGTTTGATAACATGATTACAATTACTCGTTATTTTTTAAACAGACTTACATTTTGTTCTGGATTTAAGTTGAAGTAGATGGTGCCTGGCTTGATAGGCTTGCTGAAGTGGATGGTGCCTGGTTTAATAAGGTTGCTGAAGTTGATGGTGCCTAGTTTAATAAGCTTGCTGAAATGGATGGTGCCTAGTTTGATAGGATTGCTGAAGTTGATGGTACCTGGTTTAATAAACTTGCTGAAGTTGATGGTGCCTGGTTTTAAAGGGTTGCAGCTAAGTCCGTTCTCTCTAATTCATTCAAAATAAATCAAATTGCAAAATTTTATTCATTTTGAGTAAAATGTACAAATTTTTAATTATACTTTTAGAAGTATCCCCCATTCAAAAAACTTTTTGAATCTTTTTATAGCCGCTCCTCCCTCCGATACAAAATCTTTCAACTGTGAAGTAAAAATTTACTATTTTGATCAAGTTTTGCCATTCTAACACAGACCGTTCACGGTAGCTCAGTCGATAGAGCGCTCGCTCCGTGGTCGGGGGGTCGTGAGATCGTATCTCGGCTGTGACTGACTTAGTGGTTAAAATGGGTAGCAACTGTTCCTTCGCCTCGCGCTCATCACTTTGAAGTGAAAGTTGAGGGTCCTTCGGATGAGAACTTAAAAACCCAGGCCCCGTTTCAGCGGCAGGCGTCAATTGACTAACGAACTTCCCCCGGCTTCATGGTTGTGGTGTCTGAAAAAAAATAACTCGTGTAAATAACAAGCCCCTGTGCATAAAAGCATTGCAGAAGTTTGACAGTTAGATAAAAGTAGATATGGGAATATTTTAAGAAATCATGTCCTCAGCTTATGAGGCAAATACTTCACATTATTTAAAAGGAATACATAAGCATCTTGCCTTTAGAGGTTTTCTCAATTCGGATAAACTATTGTCATCATAATCCAAACAAGAGGCCCGTGAGCCTTATAGATCCCCTGAGCATTATGCAACAACTTTCCAGTGATTGAATTTGATTCGTGTTTTAAACCAGATGCTATGGCATTCACAATTTTTAAAGAGGCACCATTGATCATCATAACTATACACTTGTCAGCTGCTTAGTGTGGTTACTTAATATCCATAGGCAGGATAGGGGATCAAAAAATGCATTTCAACTAATTAGTAATGCTCAGCAATAATCAGTAGGCCCCTACCACAAATGAACCCCTGACCCTTAGGCCTAGATCCACACATTGCACAATTTTTGAAAAGGCATCCTTGCTTCTAAAAGATATCTGATTAATACCAATGAGCAGGTTTCAAACAGATTTCCAAGAATCAATTTTTTTTATCATTCTGTTTTTCGTAGCATCCAAGTAGATTGGGCCTCGTTAAATTTCGGATTCCTTAATTATCAGTTTATTGTGTTTTAATAAAGAAGGATATGAAGATAACGAACAGTATTCAATCTCAAAGTCCATAAAACAATACAAAAATCAGAGATCAAGATCAGACCAAATATAGACCCCCAAAACATCAGAGGTGGGATCAGGTGCCATGGAGGAGTAAGCATCCCCTGCCGACCGGGAACAATTTCCCTATGATGGAGACCTTATTTCTAGGCGGGGATGTTTTTAAACACTCGACACAGGTTTTGTGGGTGCTAGTGGGTGGTTAAGAATGTGGCAATCTGCTCAGGCACCTCAACAGCTGTTGAGGAAGACACTTATGTGTTTGTTGTTACAACCACAGCATCTGTTTTCTTGATGATATTTCTGAGAATCAGGCTCTGGCCCTCCATCTTGAATCTCTTACATTTGAACTTGTCATATACTATGTACTTTATTGCCTTCGATGCATCAGTCACTGAGCAGTTCATCAAAACTTTGTCTTCCCCTGTTCCGTCCCGGAATTTTGTATGTTTACCTTGGTTCTTTCTTTTATGTGCAGAAACGAGCCTCATTTTGATTGTCGACAACATGTGCTTCCGAGCACACTGTTTTTTGCCTTTTATTAACCTTTACATTTGACAATCTTGTCTTAGACCACAGCGTAAGTGTTTTTCTATTATTATGTAAAAATAGAATTCATTATTTGTCCATGTCAGGATGTTTTTGTGGTATACTAGCGAAATTTATGTATGTGTAAACATGTCTGTTTAAGAGAAAATTCGGATTAGGTTTTTTCATCAGTGTAATCTATTTGTATTGGTATAATTGATAACTATGAATCTACTCTGCATTATTATACTTATACCTGAAATGTTCGTCTTTGGTCTAGTCATACATAAATCTAGTCAACTGTTTATTATTTTACTATCTATGGTGTAAGTCGTGTAGTGCATATGTACTTAAGAAGCTCAGATTTGGCTCGTGTTATTAGATAGATTTACCAGTGTCAGATAAAATTATTTGTACTTTAAGTTTATTACATTATCCATTTGATTGATATCTTGATACGAGTTATTCATATTATACACATAATATCCTAAGTATGGTCACCAGTTTCTGTCACTGTTAGTGTATGATGTAATCTGTGTCATATCATTCAGATTGTAATTCTTGTTTTTGTTCTTTTACAGTTCTTTTACCATATTTCAATAAATGCCTTTCAAGCCTCAGAGGTGTTTGTTGAGGTTAATTACAACAGTAGCTCTCCGGAGCAAGAGACTGTCACAGTAAAAGAAGCTTACTACAAGACACGATGTCAAATACAGGGAAGTTGAGAGATGTGCGGGACCTCTCAGAAAAAGGACATGAGATGTATGAAACCTCCGTGGAACATTTCAGCTCCAGGATAGAAGAGGCATGGAAATTCGTGGAAATTTCGTTGCAGTCAGCTGATGACAACCAACTAACAAAGTCAAACTTACAATCACTTTGTGTTCTAGAAGAGAGCATCAACAAAAACTTTACGAAATACAGCATGATAAAAGAGGACTTCCGGCAGTTTCTCCTCAGAGCAAAAACCAGTGAAAGTGAACAATTATTAAAGTCTCTTGAATTGAAACATTATGAATATTCTGCTTCAGTGGAGAAAGTTCTCAAAACAATAAGTGAACAGAAACAGAATGCTATAGAAACTATGACTTCAGTATCAAACTCTCAGTCACGTGCTTCCAACAAATCTCACTTTAGTTCTCTTGTGACACTGAAACGCGCAAAAGCCCAAGCAGCGAGAATAAGCATTCAGTATGCTGAACAGGAGATCAAATTGCGTAAAATGAAAGCAGAAATCGAAGAACGAGAGAAGCTTATGGCAGCGAAGGAGAAAGCAAATATGGAGAGGGCAAAGGCAGAGTTCGAAGCAGAAATGCACCTCCTGTCTATAAAGAAAGAGGCAGCAGCTGCTGAAGCAGAACTACGCGTGTTTCAAGAGGAGGATCAGGGATCTCTGTTTGCGGACTTACCTGGAACTGAAGGAGGTGATGAACTTTTAAGTGACCGTCAGTTTTCAGACACACGCCGAGTTTTGGACTTTAGTGCAGAACAGAACAACCTAAGCCACATTGACATTCAGACCAACCCACTATCTCATCAGGCGAATGGTTTGTCTGAAGTTAAGCTACCTCAAACGGAAAGTTCCCCACTGCAAGACCCGTCATCTTCGGGAGCCCTAGACCCCCTCGTGCCAGAGTTCAAACCACAGGCCAACCACCGGTCAGGAACTATGAACAGTCAGTTTTCTGAGTTCTCAAAGTTTTTACTGAAAAAGGAACTACTGATGTCTCGCCTCAAGAATTATAATGACAAACCGGAATCATTTGCGGCCTGGAAGGCTACATTCCAAAGCGTGATGAGAGAATTAGACGTTTCTACTGAGGAGGAAGTGGATCTGTTGATCAAGTATTTGGGTCCCGAGTCTTCTAAGCATGCCAACAGCATCAAGACAGCGAATTTCAGTAACCCAGCAAAGGGACTTTCAAGGATCTGGGAGCGTCTAAATGACAGATACGGGTCTCCAGAGATGGTGGAGTTCGCCCTTAAACAGAAACTTGCTAATGTGCCAAAATTAACCAACAAGGACAATAAAAAACTGTTTGAACTAAGTGATTTTCTCTCAGAGATAGAAGCAGTCAAGGACAATATTGAATATTCCGCTCTACTTGCGTACTTCGATACGTCATCAGGAGTCGTGCCAATTGTAAACAAACTGCCGCACGCCATCCAAGAAAAATGGACGACTCATGCCGTAAACTTTAAGAGAAAACACAATGTATCATTCCCACCATTCTCAGTGTTTGTGGAGTTCATTAGAGACATTAGTCGGGTGAAGAATGATCCAGGATTCCAGTATGAAACCAACACCTACATGACAGCTGAGAAAGTGATTCATCGAGGCAAGAACATTAATATAGCCACAAAGAAAACAGTGAGCGAGGTGGACAAGGATGCTGTTGAGTGCCCTATTCATCATACTAGGCATTCACTAAATCAGTGTCGAGCTTTCAGAGGGAAGTCGTTAGAGGAGAGAAGAAAGTTTGTGAAAGACAATAACATTTGTTTTAGATGTTGTGAGACCACAAATCACAACAGGAGATCATGTAGGAGAGACATTAAGTGTACAGAGTGTGACAGTACAACGCACACTACCGCCTTACATCCGCCAACACTACAGAAGTCCTTGACCCCTTCCTTAGCCTACGGCGGGGAGGTCAACCCTCAACCTAACATTGATTCCAAATGCACTCAAGTTTGTGGGGATGCACGCCACTATGGAAAGTCATGTTCCAAAACTGTTTTGGTCCGTGTCTATCGAGATGGTCACCCTGAGAAGACGGTAACCTTGTATGCTGTCATAGATGACCAAAGCAATAGATCCCTTGCAAAATCTGATCTACTGGACTATCTTGGAATTCATGGTCAGTCAGCAGAGTATATCCTGACATCATGTGCTGGATCAATACCTTCGCAAGGACGACGTGCAAATGGTTTAGTAGTTGAATCCATGGATGGGAGCGCTAGACTTGAGCTTCCGACAGTTATTGAGTGTGATGGCATACCGAATGTGAGAGCCGAGATTCCAACTCCGGAAGTAGCCTTGTCTTATCCTCACCTACTGGACATAGCACAACACATACCCGCTCTTGATGACGAAGCCAGCATCTCACTTCTGATTGGTCGAGATCTGTTGGAGGCCCACCACATCCTCGAGCAACGCCTGGGATACACGGGATCACCATATGCTCAACGGCTCTGCCTAGGTTGGGTAATTGTAGGAGAGAGCTGCCTGAACAAGACTCACATACCAGACGTGGTAAACGTAAACAAAATCCATACACTCAGCAATGGAAGACCATCAATTTTTACACCTTGTACTAATGTCTTTGACATTAAGGAAACTCTTAAAGACATTGGATCATTTTCAACCATACCTGGCAATGTTCGGCAGCTGAGTAGTGATTGTGACATTTTTTTAAAGACCAAAAATGATGACAAAACTGCATTATCGGTAGAAGATACACAATTTCTAAACCTCATGGACAACGAAATGGTAAAGGACTGCGAGGGAAGCTGGACAGCCCCTCTTCCTTTTAAAAAACAGAGGCCCCTACTTCCAAACAATTTATCCCAAGCACTGAGTCGGGCCAAGATGTTAACAAATAACCTTCAGAAGAACTCTACCAAGAAAAAGCATTTTCTGGAGTTCATGAGTAAAGTACTGAGTGAAGGACATGCTGAACCTGCTCCAACTCTAACAAAGAACCAGGAGTGTTGGTATCTTCCCCTATTTGGGGTGTACCACCCGAAGAAACCTGAACAGATCAGGGGTGTATTCGACTCGTCTGCGAAATTTGAAAACATCTCCCTTAATGACGTCTTAATGTCAGGACCTGACCTTACCAATAATCTACTTGGGGTGCTCCTTCGCTTCCGACAGCAACCTGTCGCAGTCATGGCTGATATCCAGAGGATGTTTTACTGTTTTAAAGTCAAGCAGGAGCACAGAGATTACCTCAGATTCTTATGGCATAAAGACAATGACATTGAAAAAGAGATTATTGAGTTCAGAATGTGTGTTCATGTGTTCGGAAATAGTCCGAGTCCTGCAGTAGCGACATATGGTTTGAGAAGAACAGCTGAAATTGCAGAAAAGCAGTATGGCTCTGATGTTCGTAAGTTTGTTGAAAGGAACTTTTATGTCGACGATGCCTTGACTTCACTTCCTTCCTCAAAGGAAGCTGTTAGTCTCCTGAAGCGAGCACAGGAAGCGCTACAAGCAGAAGGCAACTTACGACTGCACAAGATCTGCTCTAATTCTAGTGAAGTACTGTTAGCGTTTGACAAGGAGGATTTAGCCAAGGATCTCAGGGAACTTGACTTTAATTGTGACGATCTTCCGTTGCAACGGAGCTTAGGAGTTTGTTGGAATATCAACGTCGACAGTTTCACATTTCATGTCAGTGTAGACGAGAAACCGTGTACCAGAAGGGGAGTGCTCTCAGTTATAAATGGACTGTACGACCCCCTTGGATTCGCAATGCCAGTGACAATTGGTGGGAAGCTAATGTTGCGAGAGGCCATGGTAGAGCCAGTGGAGTGGGATCAACCACTACCTAATGACTTCCAGACGAAGTTTGATTCTTGGAAGGATTCTCTGTCTGCCTTGGGCAGTGTGAACATTCCGCGTACCTATGACTCTCTCATCTCAGCTGTAGAACGCCCCAGAGATTTATTTGTGTTTACCGATGCTTCAGAGAAAGCCATCGCTGCGGTAGCCTATCTCAGGACCTTTGATGAGAACAACAGATCTAAATTAGGATTTGTAATGGGGAAGGCTAAAGTGGCTCCTAAACACGGCCATACCATTCCAAGATTGGAGCTGTGTGCTGCAGTCATGGGCGTTGAAATCTATGAAAACATTCTTCAGGAGCTTGACTTTAAGTTGAATCGTGTGACTTTTTTCACAGATAGTAAAGTAGTACTCGGCTACATTAACAATGAAACAAAGAGATTCTATGTGTATGTCAGGAATCGTATCGATAAAATTAGACATCTCACAAGCCCTGATCAATGGAACTACATACCCACAAATCTTAACCCAGCTGATGACGCTACTCGCTCTATACCTGCAGCGAGCTTACAAACTAGCCTGTGGTTAAATGGACCTCCAGAAAACTTCATAGAGCAAACACATGAAGACACCTCATTTCCCCTTGTGTCACCAGACAAGGAGGTTAGATCAATGAAAACAGCTGCCAGTGCAGATATGGGACTTGGTAGTTACCATTTTGAAAGGTTCTCCACTTGGAAAAGTCTGAAGAGAGCAGTGCGCACTCTCAAGGATTTGGCAAGATCCAAAACTACAGACAGTGATCATATTCGCGTTTCAGATAAGGAATCTGAAATTTGCATTATCAAGACTCTTCAAGAGGAAGCTTTTCCTTCGGAAATGTCAGCACTAAAATCAGAATTACCACTTCCAAAGCAGAGCAACATACTTACCTTGTCTCCTTACCTGGATGAACTTGGACTGCTCCGGGTCGGAGGTCGCCTTAGAAATGCCAAGCTGGATTCGGTGCAAATAAATCCAGTTATCATTCCAAAGCACCATGTGTCTACACTCATTATACGCTACTATCATGAGAAAGTCTTCCACCAAGGCCGCCAGATCACAGAGGGCTCTATTCGAAATGCAGGCTTTTGGCTGATTGGTGCAAAACGACTGATTACATCATGCATACATCACTGTGTCAAGTGTCGAAGGCTACGCGGTCGTCAAGAAGAACAGAGGATGGCAGACTTACCTGCTGAAAGACTTGAGGTTGCACCGCCATTCACTTACATTGGGATTGATGTTTTCGGACCCTGGAAAATATCAACTAGGAAAACACGTGGTGGAGAGATAAACTCAAAGAGGTGGGCGCTGATGATCACTTGTCTTGTCATACGGGCTGTCCACATAGAAATTCTAGAAGAAATGACTTCTTCGTGCTTCATAAACGCACTGAGACGTTTTTGCGCTATCAGGGGTGAGGTAAAGCTGATTAGGTCAGATTGCGGAACCAACTTCGTTGGATCTGTCAAGGATTTGAACGCAAACATTATTAATACTGAGGACCGACCAATCAAGGAATACCTTGTAGAGAATGGGATCAACTGGATATTCAATCCTCCCCACTCCTCCCACATGGGTGGAGTGTGGGAGAGGATGATCGGTATAGCACGTCGAATTCTGGATTCGCTTCTCCTTGATGTTAAGAACTTAACCCATGAAGTACTTACCACACTCATGGCGGAAGTTATGTCAGTCATGAACTCACGACCCATAGTTCCAGTGTCATCTGATCCAGAGCATCCAATTCCACTGACACCAGCAGCTCTACTAACAATGAAAACCGAACAGACTATCCAATGCTTTCAGTTAGACAGCCTTTGTCGGAAGGATCTGTACAAAGAACAGTGGAAGTGTGTCCAGTACTTAGCTGACCAGTTCTGGGTGCGTTGGAAAAACGAGTACCTTCCGACCCTTCAGCATCGCAGAAAGTGGCAACAGGACAGTGAAAACCTAAAGGAAGATGATGTGGTACTCCTGCGAGATAAAACTTTACACAGGAACGATTGGCCACTCGGAATCATTGTGAAAACTTATGCGAGTGATGATAGCAAAATCCGTAAAGTAGAAGTTCGCACAGGAAAAGACAGAAAGGTGTTCACTAGATCTGTAAATGATGTTGTGCTCCTTGTGTCCGAGTAGTTACCATGTGATTTTGTACATGCATTGTTTGAGTTGAAACTGATATCATTGTGATTTGTTGTTTTAGAAAAGTCTGATGTAACTTAGTATTAAGTGTAGATTCTATTTGATGTCCATTTAGTTAAAGGTGATATCTTCCTGATATCAGACGGGGAGTGTTCCGTCCCGGAATTTTGTATGTTTACCTTGGTTCTTTCTTTTATGTGCAGAAACGAGCCTCATTTTGATTGTCGACAACATGTGCTTCCGAGCACACTGTTTTTTGCCTTTTATTAACCTTTACATTTGACAATCTTGTCTTAGACCACAGCGTAAGTGTTTTTCTATTATTATGTAAAAATAGAATTCATTATTTGTCCATGTCAGGATGTTTTTGTGGTATACTAGCGAAATTTATGTATGTGTAAACATGTCTGTTTAAGAGAAAATTCGGATTAGGTTTTTTCATCAGTGTAATCTATTTGTATTGGTATAATTGATAACTATGAATCTACTCTGCATTATTATACTTATACCTGAAATGTTCGTCTTTGGTCTAGTCATACATAAATCTAGTCAACTGTTTATTATTTTACTATCTATGGTGTAAGTCGTGTAGTGCATATGTACTTAAGAAGCTCAGATTTGGCTCGTGTTATTAGATAGATTTACCAGTGTCAGATAAAATTATTTGTACTTTAACTTTATTACATTATCCATTTGATTGATATCTTGATACGAGTTATTCATATTATACACATAATATCCTAAGTATGGTCACCAGTTTCTGTCACTGTTAGTGTATGATGTAATCTGTGTCATATCATTCAGATTGTAATTCTTGTTTTTGTTCTTTTACAGTTCTTTTACCATATTTCAATAAATGCCTTTCAAGCCTCAGAGGTGTTTGTTGAGGTTAATTACAACAGTAGCTCTCCGGAGCAAGAGACTGTCACATCCCCCTTGTCGTTTTTGTAGGCAAATTCGTCATCCTTGTATATCAAGTTTACTTTGAGACTTCTGGTGTACGAAACTTGTCCACTTTGTGCCGTTAATTCTGCCAGGGGAATCGAAGTTGCCTGGAAGATATTATATATACTCAACAAAAAAAGAAACGCATATTGTTTTACTCGTCAAAGAAATTTTTTAAATGTACTTGAAACAACTATTTTTTATATCATTGGATACCTGTGACCTATTTAAAGAACAACATGGGATTTTAAAACCCAAGTGTTGAATTATCTCCCTTGATTAAACATGTTTATGAAAGTAGCGTTTTTCATGATTTCTTCTAAATCAGATGTCTATTTTCATTGATATTTTGGATTTAGGGAAACTTTTAACACTTCTATTTAACCCATATTTAAGATTTGATTGCAGTGTTGATACTACAGTGCCACGCCCAAACAAAGATGAATACAACCAGGCTAACGATGATACTATGTGGAGCTACGGAACAGGAAGTTGCAACTGTATTTGAAATAAATCATTGGCCTTTGCAACCTTAAAACTAACGTCTAAAGACCACTATCTGGCCATCCGCAGGTAACCACAACCAGGCATGACCGTCAGACCCCCCCCCCCCCCTTCATTACTTCATGCGATTCAGAACTTGCTGTAAAAACTGCTGCTACAATTGCTGGATGAAAAAATCAGCATGAAAAATGCATAAAATGTTCGCAAGAGACTGAAATGAGATGATATTCCTCCACGATATCCGTACATTGGAAACCCACTAACATTTAGACTTTGCACAGTACATATTGTTATGCCCCTTGAATTTGGGGGCAATGAAAATGACATCAACTTGACTTTTCAATTTGCAACATAGATTTTTATCACAATACAGTTTAAAATCGCTTAAATAATATAAGGTTTAAACTGAAAACTTAAAATTTCATATTATTCTGATTATGCGTTTCTTTTTTGTTCAGTATATATTCAATACAAATATTCAAGTCTTCTACTGTTTATGTTTACATATGACACATTATTGAAAGGGTTTTATATTATTTAAGGAATTGATAAACTTGTTTATAATATTTTGAATGATTTTTAGCTCTACTGGTCAGAGACCAGAAGAGCTTATGCGATAGTAATGCGTCCGTCGTCCGTCCGTCTGTCTGTCTGTCTGTCCGTCTGTAAACAATTTTTCAAAACGCTACTCCTCCTACAGTTTTGGTTTGATTTCAATATAACTTGGCAAACAAGTAGACTACACTAAGATACATAATTCTGTGCCTCGGTTTTTGATTTCAATGAACGGTGTTGCCGTGGTTACTAAAAATAGAAAGAATGACTGCACTTAAGCTATGAGAGTTGGAACCCGATGTTTTGCGCAAAATAAAATTCCAAAATTCATTAAATTTATGTTTAATAGGTATTAAACAATGTCTTAAGAGCAGGTTTTGGTGTATTATATTACATGAAAGTATTAAATAATGCCGAGCGACACTATCTTTTGAGACGGGGGTCTTACAGTTTTGTCTCATTTCTATTGTTATTCATATGCATACCAGTTTTCAACGACTTTGTTTACATCGAGCCGCAACTTGACCATTTTTCTTATTTGCACAGAATGTGTATTTTACTTTAAACCTATACATATCCAAAGGACAATGTTGGTCAAGTTGCGGCCCATATCTAATTTTTAAAAAAATGTACTCAAACTTCGCTCGAGTTAGCTACTAAATTAGCAAGTCACCGAGTGTCAGCCCATGTGACCCGTTTGATATTATAATCACTTTTCTCACGTGACATTCAAGTGTTCGATACGCTTTCATTGTGTCAGTCGTTGGAAAATTCTTTTTACATCTACATGTACTTCCATTTTCAAAACATTGAAGATCATTGCGTACAATTCATTGGCGTTTTAAAGTTTACGTTGACTTCTTTCACTATACCCAGCAGGCAAAATTAGTTGGATTGACGTTGCATTGACGTCACTTTCTGACGTCGGATTTACGTTGGATTATAGTTGAAAATGAAAGTTTTTTAGACGTCTTATTCTGACGTCTACACAACGTCAGATTTCAACGTCACATAGACGTCTTGTTTTCGACGTCTAACCAACGTCAGTTTTTCAACATTAAGAAATGAAAAGGTGATCATTAAAACAAGAAGGAAACTACTGTTTTTAAGTTGCCTACTTTCTTTAATCACATTCACAATTTCTTTTTTTTTTGCACACACATTAAAATGCAAATTTCAAAGTTTTCATGATTGGAAAGTTCACTCCAGATCACATACACATTACAATTAAATTCAAAATTCAAAGTTTTCATGATTGATTGCAGAGTTCACTCCAGATCACATACACATTAAAATCAAATGCAAATTTCAAAGATTTCATGATTGGAGAGTTCATTCCTGGTCTTTTTTACGGCCACCTCCCCCTCTCCTGTCTGGTGCATATTTTAAACACCGGGCTACAGCCTCAGTAGCTTCATGTTCTGTTGACTGGAACTGTTGAACTGCACTTGCTGCAAAAACAACAAAAAGAATACAAAATTTTCATTTACAAAATCCATTTCATGTACCATTTATTTTAAAATAAGAAATTCAGTTAACATTCAATGAATCTGACAAAAGATTAGCATACCTATTACGGCTTGGAAAACTGATGTTGTTCCGACCGCCATTTTCCCTCTGTTTCCCTTTATATTCATTAATGACATCACATCATTTGTCATAATCCTGCAAAAGTAATTTGAAAGTAATAGGTCATACACTTTTTGTGAAAAAGTTCATAATGAAAAAACAGATCAAAGGGCAGCTTAGTGAATAAGAAGAAAAATGACAGTAACAGTGAAGGGCACATAGCATTATCTCTTAAATTAAGATACTGACTAACTCAACTTTGTAGGAGTACAAAGTTGTGTCAGTCACTGATTTTTTAAAACATAAAACATGAAGAATGTACAAATGTGAGGACATGATCAAAATACATGTTCAAGTACCTTTGTAAAATCATTTTTACTCCATCTCTGAGATTTAAACCTCCAATTGATGAAAGCTTCTGAATCTGTCATTAAAAAGACAATCATTATCCATGATATTCAGAACCCGTGGAAATTTTGTGGTCATGCATTTTTATCATATACAAATTGCATTACATATTCTAGTGCTAACTGAACTGGCCTGTGAAAGAGAATCCTAACTTTCCATTTTAAAACAGGTGCCTTATCCCCTACAGGTACAATGCATCATAAACATACTTTTTTTCCACAGAATCACAATTTTTATTTAATCCATGGGTAGAAAATTATGCAGATTTCTTGCTATAACATGTCTCGAATGCACTTTAAGTAAGCTGTGTTAAATTTTCATGGAAAAGTTTTGATGCCATACATAGTGGAAATTAATCCCACGTGGAAAAAGTTATGTCTACCAGTGTATCTATGAGAATACATTGCTACACATATTTTCATGATATGCCTCTCCACCATAAAACAAATTAGTTTTTTTTTTTTGGAGAACAAAACACTGGGAAGGCTGAGTTTAAGAAAGAAAAACAAGATTACATGTTCAAAACTATGGTTGAAAGACATAAGCATAAATAAAATGAAAATTCTCACCATTTGTTGTCTTTTTGCTGGTTCTTTTAGTGAATCGTCAATATCTACAGTGCTGCTATCCCACAAGTTGACATGGGATGGGATCGGATAGGATTCAGGATTGAGGATTCACGATAGAAACATATAGAAGTTAATCCAATCCTATCCTATCCTATCCTATCCTGTATCCTACAGCCAATCAGATTCGAGCAAAGGTTCATTCATATTTCAGAATAAATTACAAAAACGAAATACGATATAAAATGTTTACAAAAGAAATATTTTTAAAATTTCAATAGAAAATAAAACATTTTTTTCTCAAAACACAGATTTACATTATAAACTTCGAGTAACACGGCGTACGATCTAACCGTGAACGATCACCGGAAGATTTGGGAATGTAAACAACAAAGAGTCCAGACATCGAAAGACCGTATTTCTTCAGCTTGTTTGGATGATTTAACCGATTCTTACTTGTGTAAAAGTGTTCTAACATGTTTTCTGTTAAATATGCTCTGTTTGTTTGGATAATTCCACAGGAACCGTCAACAGGGGACTTGAATAGGTGATGTGCGAGTTCATGTAAGTATACTACACACTGTACACTGTACATGTTTGCATTTTTATACTTATTTATCCCTCAAAACAATGTTCTCGTGTCTAAAAATATAAACATTTTATTCTATTTAATATAAACAAAAATTAGGTGCTGAAAAAAGAAGTAGTGTAGACAGAATGGGGGATAAAATATTTACAAATACCCCCGTTACTCTGTCATGATTCAATTAGCTATCAATGAGCTCTAAGACCAAAACAATCATATGTATTATGTCTTAATCAGTTTATTAATCTTATTATTTCCTTAATTCTTTCATTTCAGTGTAACTTATAATAAATTAATGTAGAATCATCTTGACCATTTCTAATGCTACTGCTGAAATGTTTAATAAGCTCACTCAGCAGTGCACTTACATATTGTACATGTATGTATGATGTATTGTGAGTTATGAAACATAAGTTTATCTTTTAATATTCATCATTACAGTGATGGATTTGCCTGCACTCATGCGTCATCACAGTATAAAGGATTTTAATCTAAAAAGTATGTATGATTTTATTTTTATCATGTATTTTTTTATGGTCATTCAACTATATAAACATCATTATCTGCTTTGAGGTGACATGTCTGCAGGTTCTCGGAACAAGCGATTTTCTTCTTTCAAAAATCTTGAGAGTTAAACTGAAAGAAATGTTGAATTTTTCTGGTCATCATGTTGCTGTTACATAGATATTTTCTTCTTCTTTTACATATTCAAATTTCAAGGCCAAAAAAAAGAAGAAAAAAGAAAAAGAAAACCAAGAAAAAACATTAAATAGATAAATACAAAGAGAAAATAGAGAAAAGTCACTAAAACAAATGTATTCATACTTTTTAGCAAGTTGACAAGATAAAATTTATCATAATGTACAAGTAAATTATCTTAAATAAGATTTTTTTTCTTAATTTTATATGACTGAGGTTGCAGTATAAGATTTTATGTTTCATGATTTCAAAATGCATTTTTTTTTAGAGAGAAAAAGGTGAAATTAAATCCAATTGTACATGAAATGTGAAAGATAATCACAATCAAAAACATTTTACATGTGTATGAAATGTGTATGACAAAATTTACAATCTACATGCCTATAATTATGTGATTTTTTTTTCAGAAAACCCTGCAGATTTGCAGCTGTGCAGAATGCAGTTTACGCCATATGCTGTTAGAGTAAATGATGAAAGATGTTCAAACCAGTGTCAAAGATTCCTAAGACTGAAATCATAGTGCTTTTATTAAGGAGATCAGTGTATGTTTTCTGTGCATTGTTGACATTTGTGGAACTGTTCAGTTTATGACCATCTCTCTGACAATAAATCTGACATTTGAATTTCAATTTGAGCGTCGAATAAGAAAGCCAAATTATATGCATGTTAAACATTATACAACTGTAATAAAAACATTGATAAACTTAAATTTAAACAAAGTTCATGTACCGGGTACATGTATCTGTGGTCTTTGAATTAAAATTCATAAATGCTGTACGTGGATACTTTTAATGACTTTGTTTCATGGTAATGGAATATTCAATTGTTAAACATTGTTGAGGAATCACCTTGAATAAAACTATTGTGTACTTGATAAAGTTTTTTTTTCTCATTTAAACACTGATAATTTTAAGATCAAATGTCAAGGACAAATAAAAGGTTTACTCAAGAATGTGTTATACATACTGTGAATTCTTATGCATGTATATAAGATTTAAGGAACATGTGTGGAGCATTTTAATATTTTTCAATCAGACACTGATTAAGATTCAAGATCCAATGCCAAGGTCAAATACAAACTTGCTTTACTCAAGAATGAGTTATAAATACTGTGAATTCTGAATTTCTCTTGCATGTTTTATAAGATCTTAGAAACATGTGTGACCTCACTACAATATTTATTAATATTATACTTTCATGTAAATTACTTGAATCTGATTCATCGAGAAACATTTGATAAAAAACACTACTAGTAACTACCCGCTGAATAATGAAGCCATGCCCTCCTGCGTAGCAACAGTCAACATTGCTTGATGATGGGTGGTATTACAAAAAATAGTGACTGCGAGGAATTTATGCATGCACGGTTCACTGTAATATGTATTTGTATAAAACATTCAGTATAATATAATAAATATTGCATGTAGTTGAGTGTAACATTAAAGATTTTCACCCCTCGAAAACCATTGTCAACCTCGGCTGCGCCTCGGTTGACAATGGTTTTCTTGGGGTGAAAATTTTCAATGCTACACTCAACTACATGCAATATTTATCATGTTTATATACTGTCAATCTGTCAACCAATATCAAATTTAGAAAATAAATTCTATTAAACATAAATTATTAAATTTTCACACATAAAACAAAATAGGAAATTGAAATACATTGTACGGCACTGAGCTGACCATAAACTGAGAAGAAACTGAAGTTAAAAAAAAAATAACATTTCAATTATCTTGAATTTTATTTAGCAACTATATATGTTGCATGTTTGAAAAATATCACATACAACAGATGATGAACTGAAATTTTTAAAAACTTAAAGAAAAAATTATAAATTTAAATGAAAATTAAATTTAATTTAAATTAAAATGTTTAATATGTGAAAGTCAAAATATTCTAGATCTACATTTTGACTTTGTCTGTTTGGTTTATGGTATAGTCAGATCTTCTTTTTGAGAATTGCATACAGAATTTAACAAAAACCTGTTATGCAGGCACATTTAGACTATAGATACATGTACATGCAAGTTATTTTCATGGTGCTCAGTTTAGAAAAAAAATAAAATTTTACATGAAACATGTACTTAAACATTTTTACCGTATAGGCCTATGATTTTTAAAAATAATTAATTATAATGCGTCGGCAGCAAGTCGCGATCCCGGGTCTCCCGATCATTGTTAGTAGGAAAATTAAAACACTAAGTATATTTTTTATTTAATTCTTCTGGTAGCCCAATTTCTTTACATATGTTCGCAAAATCAGTACTTGTCCACGTGTAATTACGACCTGTTTGTTAACATTTATTTTTAACGTGGCAATGATAATCGTAAATTTAATTTGTGCGGCGAGTCGGGAATTATGGAATGCCGATCTCGATTATTTTTTTTTCCATTAAAATTTATAACATTTAAATGAATACCATAACTATGTCTGATTTTTTTCCTGGTAATTCCCTTTTTTCGTTTTGTCAAACTAATTCCTAAATATTAAAAAACTGAGAGTTGCAGGATAGGATAGGATAGGATTAGACTGAAATCATAGGATAGGATTGTGGATGCAGGATTCACGATAGGATAGGATAGAATTGTCAACTTATAGGATAGCAGCACTGTACAAACTCCTCTATTGATGTTGCTTTTGTTAAGTCGTACGCTGTGGAGGTTTCAGCTCTTCTTTCTTTCTTTATTTCCGATATTTCTTGTCTGATGTCACTCAGCAAATACAGCACACGTTTCTGAAATTCTAAAATAAATTTTGAAATTAAAAGATGTAGAAGATTTTTTGTATCTCTAACAATTATGCATCACTTACCATTTTTAAAACAAAATTTAAAATCAAGTTAATTGGATTTCTTTGCAGCTACAGAAATAATAAAGTATTACATTATGCAATACACTAAGGACTTTAAGAAGATGAGTGTGTGTGTTAGTGTGCTTGTAAAGATTTTCTCTTCAAAGTTACTCACTAGCTTCTGTCATAGGGAATTTTTCTTTGTTACTTGTGGCTTGGGAAGTTTCTCCTGTTTTTCTGCTGTGATTTTTGGGTGTTGAGTGCTTTGGTTTTGGTAACAAAGAGGGCAAATCTAATGACCTTGAATGTGACCTTCCTCTTGTCTCCTTTGATGAGGATTTATGCGTACCTTTGTTTTTCTTCCTGCATGTCAAGTCCAGATGTTTTCTAGATGAATCATCTAGAACTGAAGATGACCTTGACCTGGTATATGAAGGGCTTCTTCCCTCATCTGATGAACCTTGATCTGTTGACGACTTTGATTTTGAATATGATTTTCTGCCATGTTTTGAACTATTTTTCATTATAGTTGATCTGGACCTCCCTTTGTAGCTATGCTGATCTGAACTAACCCTCGGTGACAATGACCTTGATCTGGACCTTGAATCAAATCTGTTTCTATGTTTTTCAGAAGTGAAATGGCTTGAATAAGACTTCTTTCCATAACTACCTGAACAACCCTTCTGGGGAAATGACCTTGAATGTGACCTGGACCTTTGATGGGATCTGTTTCTTGATCTAGACCTTGAGTGTGACATGTTTCTATGATTATCTGATCTCACTTTAACTGACGATGACCCTGAAGCTGATTCTTTCCTGTTTTTTCCTGACCTACCTCTCAATGATCTTGACCTTGATCTGGACCTTGAAAGTGATTTGTTTCTGGACCATGAGTTTTTCTTGCTTTTCTCTGAACTATCTCTCAATGATGTTGACCTTGATCTGGATCTTGAATGTGAACTGTTTTTCCATTGAGACCTCACCTGAACTGATGATGACCTTGAACCTGACTTCTTTCTACTTTTCTCTGAACTACCTCTCAGTGAATCTGATGATGAACTTGATCCGGACCTTGAATGCATTCTTTTTCTGTGTTTTTCAGAAGTAACATTCCTCAACATTGACCTTGAACCTGAGTTTTTCCTATTTTTTCCTAAATGTAATGATGACCCTGAACTTGACCTTGAACATGATTTCTTTGAATAACTACTATCCATTGAAGATGACCTTGACCTTGAAATTCTTGTGGGGTTTGGAAATTTGGGTACAACTTTCTTTGGCTGTGCAGGCAATGTATTAACTGGAAAAGAGAATATTCACACAGTTCAAATTACATATACTACTGTATCTCTTTCTTGCTTTTAAGTTTGTTTTACCTCCCTAACTGACATCGTGAAACAATAGGATTTTTTTTAAATCTGAACTTTGTATCGATTAATTAAGATATCATCATGTCTTCAAGTTTTGGCAGTTACAGAACAAAGATAAGACGTGTTTGGGCTATTTCAATGTACACACCAGGATCCTTTTCAGATGTTTTGGGGGTTTTATCTTTAGGGTCTTTTCCATCCAGACTAGGACCAACAACTTCAGCTATATCTGAATAAGAAATTCATATTTCCATGTACAAACTAAATAAAGATGCAAATTAAGCAAAATCATACAGATAAGTTCTGAATGAATATTAGAATTCCTGTTGTAGTAATACATGTATTTCAGAATGTTGGTTAATATGCTCTTAAAATTTGCCAAACATTTGACAAATTCTTCAAAATGGAAAAAAAAATTTAAAAACAAAACAACACTGATGTTTTACTTTATAAGGGGAAAAAATGCTTACCTGAAACAAAATCTGCACCAAAGGACTTCTTTTTCAATGGTCTCTTGCCACGATCTTCATCCTCACTGACTTCTGCGGTTGTTGTTTCATCAAACAACTCACATTCAGTGTAATTATCTGTAATAGAAATACAGTGATGTTCTGTTGTGTTTCATATACATAAGTCTTGTATATGTATACATTTTCTGCTTCATGTTTCAGAATGTACAGTTAAGTAAGCTTTTAGAAAATTTATATTAAAAATGTTATATCATTTAAGACTTTTTTTCAATTTATCTTAATAATGCATGACTTTAAGATTTCCAAATGTCAGGCATAACTACATGTTTCATAATTTCATTCTTACCTGACTTCTTCTTTATCTTGACCAAAGGAAATTTCTTCCATTTTTCTGTTGGCTTCCTTCTTTCCTTTAAGAACTTTAAACTATTCACAACTGGAGGCCACAGAACAGTGTCGTTTTCTATCCACATGTCTGGAACTGTCCCCTCTTCTTCTTTTTCCCCCTCCACCCAAACAGCTCTTATCCATGACATTCTGCATAAACAATTTACATTCATTTTAATAGATATAGAAAAAAAATAGCATGCTTTAAATATGTTCATCTATCTTTGACAAAGCAAAATACCCTATTTCTATACAGTTAAAAAGTACATGCTTTTAACTTATATACTAACAATAATAAAAATTTACTTAAAAATCCTATATAATATATATATAATATAATATAATAGAGGCTTTGTAACAGACTAATCAATGCAATGCATTCGTGCTGTTAACTGTTAAGACATAACTTTAGTGCTCTTTGTGGGCCAACAAGAAAAGAAGTGCAAATCAACATTTAAATATACCTTAACAATGCATTAATGGCTATGTCTCTCTACACCATGCAAAAGTGGCAGCAAAACTGAACCTCCTGGATAGGGTAGGCAGGCCACTTTTCGATACAGATCTTTTTTCTCCAACAGTCTTCTTGAGGATCTGTGTCGATTCTTGACGAATGCAATATTAATCAACTTGGATTCGCAGGGCTTCGTGAAAAAGTTTTCAACATCCCTCTGCTTCACAATATCACACACCAACTTGCCATCATCTCTTTTCTCTTTCACGAAAGCAAAGTCCTCATTAAATAACAGAAAACAGCTGTCCTTCTTCTTACATGATATATTTCTGAATCGAAACTCTGACAGATTATTTGTTTTTCCTCTTCCAAAAGTATCCATTTCTGACATTCTTTTGGTAACTTGAGAAATTGGATTTTTTGCATTTCTAACCAAACGTTTGATGGCTTGCAAATGGTTTTCAAATGGAAATGCTGATATTTTATTCAATGAACAGTTATACTTTTCAACATCATCAGTAATATGGATCAAATTGTGTACATTATATGACACAAAAATGTCACTGTAAATGCTTTTGCTTTGATGAACAAAATACTCAAGAAGTTCACGAGCATATTCTTGGTATGAGTTCCTTTTTTTTTCATTTGAATCCAACAAAATGGAAATGCCCACTGTTAATGTTAAGAAGTGCTCATATAATTCTTTGGATACAATTTTTCTCAATACAACAGGTCCCGTATAAAGTAAGAACTGCCTGTACTCAGTTGCTTTCCAGCGTTCCAACTCTTCTAGTGATCTTGGTTGCCTTGCAAATTCTGAAGGCATTTTTCCACTTAGTGACAACAAATTATCAGACATTTCAAGCAATTGTCTAGACGAAAGTCTACAATCTCTTGGTCCTTGTTTTAAGTACCATATAATGCGCTTAACAACACCCAAGCAAACAAGATGCATGTAGTCTAGACAAAAGCCAGAAACACACGGAATATTGTGGTCTATTAAAGATGAACGGCCTCTTTGATGGTCATTATATAACATGTTGGCAAAATCTTCATTACTGCGCAGAGGGAAACTGGTTGCAGAATAAAAGTTTATTCGATTATTCTTGTAATTTCCTGGAATGGTACAACGTTCACAAGAATAATACCCGGTGTGACCTTTGACACACTTTAAAAATGATCTTGCAGGTGCGTCACAAACAAAATTGAGCAATGACACGGAAATTGTTTTATCATCAAATGCAATCCCATTTTCCTTCAACGAATCAACTTCCTCTAAAAAGTCTCTTAAAAAATCAGTTACACATGTTGGTTTACTTTTACCATAAAAAAGTGCCACAAGAAATGGTTCAAACTTGCTAAAAGAGCATAGAATTGGCCAGAATTGAGTTCCTGAAGATTTAAAGAGTGGAACACCATCTATATTAACCGTTAGCTGAATTTCATCACAGTTCTCTCTTAATTTTGGATTGTGGGCAAGAATTTTGAGAATTCCAGTTTCAATGCCATAATATCTATACTGACCCCCACATCTGTCTACTGCCTGTATAGTCCTTGGTGTTTGCAGTAGTGTACGAGCATCCTTTGGTAAGGGTAAGCCTTGTTTTCTAAGCAGGCAGAGTAGTTTATTCAAATTTGCCCGAGTACACTGACTTTCAGTTGCCCAGGCGGCGAGTTCTGCAGGAAAAGGCTGATCATCATCTTCCTCCTCTGACGGCGAGTCGACTTCAGAGTGATCTGTGTCTGTTTCTAATTCAGACAAAACTCTGTCCAAATATTCATAGTCAGTGTCATCTGAATCAGAACCAAAAGAATTGCTGGAATCTTCATTACCTACTCTGGAAGGTTCACCTGCTGAAGCAGAATCATGATGTTGATCTTGTGCTGAATCATCATCACTGCTACTAGTAAGCAATGCCAGTGAATTAACTTGGGCCCTATTGTGCCTCCAACGTTTGAGATAAGACATGCTCCTGTAAAATTTTTTAATTCAAAATAATCATCAAAACTAATGGTTTTAGAAAAATAATAATGTTAAAGTTACTTTATGTGATCTTTTAAAAAATAATAACCCTAGGCATCTATTCTATATAACATCATGTAACTGATTTCTTCAAAATGATGTAAACATGTATTATACTGGGTCCGGTCAGTATAGTACACTATCTACTTATAACTTACAATAACATGCAAGGAAAGGAAATTACTAAAACTTTCTACTGCTGAGTGCTTCAATACATGCAAAGCATGCAGTATGTTGGACATCTCCAAACTTGTGAATTCTCTTATCTGACATTGGGGATCCATGATGTGCAAAATAATTTTTAAAAACTTGATTCATTTAATATTTATAAACACAAACATTACTTACATACAATAAACAATAAATAAAAATAATTAGGATTCTGGAGGTTTAGGAGGACCCACTAAGGCCATGGCCATGGGGAGTGGCAATAAAGAAATGGGATTGTTGAGCAATTTTCACCCTAACTTCCTTGGTTGGTATGTATTATAGTAGACAAATTGAAGTCAGCCAGTCCCCCCCTCCCCCCCCCTCTGAAACCCTTAGGCATTGAAATGATTGAAATGAGGTTTATGTCAACATTTATATGAATGCACAATACATTATACAAGAATTCCTCTACCGCAACCTGGTCATTGTTCATTCCCATAAGACAGTCAACAACTCGGATCGGCAGCGTGCTGACCCCCCCCCCCCCAACCTCAAGCAAAATCATTTCTTCTAAATTGTCCCGATTTTTTGTTAATATACTATTGTATATGTGTTCTTCGTATTGTTACTGTTAACATACCAAGATGTACGTACCTTATTATGGGTTCCAAACTCTTTATTTCACTCTTTTTCACGCTACACACTAGTCTTGTACACAATGGAAGTTCAAATTTCTCGACCGGAAGTGGAAAATACGCGCTTAAAATTTATATTGTTAATTTTAAAAACACAATTTGAAAATCGAATATGATTATAATACAACAATGAAAAAAGGTTATAACAACGACAACAAAAAATAGCTAATAAAAAAATATTACTTATATAAACACGCCTCCTATCGGGAAAGTGACAAAGGGAAGTAACTCAATATTCTGTGATAGTACGCGTATCCGTATATGTATGTGTACTAAGTCAAGTATTTACAACCATGGTAATTGGCAAATTGGTTACTGAAAATAATGAGTCAATGATGTGTATGTGCACGTTTACGTACAATGCTAAATTTACACACAAAGAAAAAATGGTTTTTAATAGTTGGTAAACTGACGTCGAAACACTGTCGTTTTTCAATGTAAAAACAACAATGACCAAGTAGCAACGTCTGTTCGACGTCAATAACCGACGTTGATAAGACGTTTCATTTTGACGTCTGAGTGACGTTGAAATTTAGTCATACGACGTCGCGACCAAATATCGACCAAAATCCGACGTCGCTTTGACGTCCTGTGTTTACTGGGTAGTGTTTTTGTTCGGAGCATTTAAAAGAAAAGGGGTATTATTTTGCCGATTACATGCTGTACATACAGCAGTGGCGGATCCAGAAATTTTGAAAACGGGAGCCCGACCAGTTTTAGGTCAGGGTAGGAGCCCACAGTCACACCAAAAAAAAACTAAACTTTTTATTTTATTTTTCCGTTACTAATTAATTTAGTCCACTATTATTATTCAAGATGATTAAGATAAAGTGAAAATGTCATTTTTTTTAAATACATGTTGTAGGTTCGAACACATAATTTATAATTATCTTAAGATTTAGTTAATTCGCTGCTTGACAGCAAATACTACATGAGCATTTCATTTACGCTAAGACAGTCCATTATGTTCAAAAAATAAAAATGTATTTCAGTGTCATTTTCATCTACCAATAATTCTTAAAAAAGACACTACAAACCTAAGCGTACAAAATGCAGACATATATTTATCACAATTGTGTTTATTTTTATGAACTTTTTGTTTTTCTCTTAATGTTCTGCTCTTTACTTACTTTACTTACTTACGTGGATACAAATTAATGAAATTATATGCATGGTTATAAATCATTTATTTTTTTGTACACAATGAACACAAAACCCTCCTCTCCGCCTTTTTCATACAGAATGTAAATCAAATACGGAAAACCATGTGCTTATGATCCATTTCCATGCGATTTAAATGTCTCCGCCCCTTTGCTGCCACCTTAAAATCGAAAGCGGTCCAGTTCAATTTTCCGGAATTTATGGCTTAAACATGTTCTTTTTAATAGCGTTGTAAGTAATTATAGAAATATGCATGACGAAAAATTCTAGAAATAAATATCAAAAACATATGCTTGCACATTAATCATAGATTAATTTAGCGATATAGTGTAATGTTAAGCTTAAAATGGGTAACCGAAAAGGTTCCAAATAACGTCCTTAAGTGCAGTCATTCTTTTTGTGAAAATCATTTAAGTTGCTACTTCTCCTACAGTTTAAGTCTGATTTCAATATAACTTGGCACACAAGTAGACTACACTAAGATACATAATTCTGTGTATTAGTTTTTGATTTCAAAGAACGGTGTTGCCGTGGTTACTAAAATAGAAATTTTTGCGAAAATCATTCAAAATGCTACTTCTCCTACAGTTTAAGTCTGATTTCAATATAACTTGGCACACAAGTAGACTTCACTAAGATTCATAATTCTGTATATCGGTTTTTGATTTCAACGAACGATGTTGCGGTGGTTACTAAAAATAGAAATTTTTGTGAAAATCATTCAAAGTGCTATTACTCGTACAGTTTAAGTCTGATTTCAATATAACTTGGCACACAAGTAGACTACACTAAGATACATAATTCTGTATATCGGTTTTTTATTTCAACCAACGGTGTTGTCGTGGTTACTATAAAAAAAAATTATGTGAAAATCATTCAAAATACTACTCCTCCTACAGTTTTGGTCTGATTTCAATATAACTTGGCACACAAGTAAACTACAATTAGATACATAATTCTGTGTATCGGTTTTTGATTTCGATGAATGGTGTTGTTGTGGTTACTAAGAATAGAATTTTTTTTAAAACACATTCAAAATACTACTCCTCCTACAGTTTTGGTCTGATTTTAATATAACTTGGCACACAAGCCAACTACACTGAGATACATAATTAT